TGTCATTTAACAAAGGCCTTTTGTGTTTGTGTTTTGCGATATATATATATATATATATATATATATATATATATATATATATATATATATATAGAGCACACAGTGACACCCACAGCACACCTGATGGCCAGTGGCAGCCGTAAGAATTAGGGTAGAATACATCTTTTCCGGTAAAATGAGCCTCCAGTTCTCTACACTCATCAACACGGCAGCATTAACCTACTATTTTATTGGTATTCTGTGGGAGCACGGTCCCTCTCCGGTCAAGCCGACCCATTTGTGCTACAACAATACTATTAAATTAATATAGTTGCAGCATGGCTCCACGAGTTCCACGAAGTATTAAAAATTCCTTCTTTCCAATTTGGAAAAGATTTATTTTTTGACATGGACAGAGTAATGATGATTTATAAATCATAATGCAAAATGTTAAATTACGTTTTTTTAATAAGGTTAACAAACAAGCACACAGTCCACCTGATGGTAAGTGGATGCTGTGGCGTATATACAACTACATCCATCCTTGATTACAAATCAACAACATATTATAAGAAAACAATAATAAAAACAAAATACAAATGCGTTATCAGTTATCACCAATCACTCAAGCGCTCTATTTTAAGATGCTGTTAAGTCTATTGCTGTCACTATCACTTTAAGTCGAAATTACTGCGACAACACGAGACTTAAAGACATCTTTAAATTTAGCAATGTTTGTTATTCTAGCGGTTTACTTAATCCTCATAGAAACTGTATACGGGTCACCTGTAGCTGACCTATGAGGTAGCAGTTTACCGTAGAAAATATAATTATGTTAGTATATCTGGAAAACAAGTCTAGATTTGACATAACGATACAAACTGCGAACTTTCACTGCTGATTTCTGCTAGATAAAGATCATTAAAGATATGGCGACGTTGTTCAGTGTCTTATTTTATAAATTTATGAGCGTTAAGAAAATAAAATTTGCATTTTACGAGAGTTGCGTTGAAATAGAGCTTGTTATATATTTTAGTACACGGTTTAGCGTTTAGACTTGGTTTAGACATGATTAGTTACATGCCAGAATCAGATTACACGCAGGAACAGGTGCGTGAGAATAATATTGCCGTCCTATACAATCAAAACTAGCAAGATGACATAGACAAAAACACAAAGTCGTATACTACAACTCATATATTAAGAAAAAAAAAACAAACAAGCTTTGACAATAATTAGGAACACTTCAAAAAATCTAGTTAATAAAAACTAACTTTTTTCTTTTTTTATAGGAAATTAGTGATGCAACGGAAGTGTCATGTCTGAAGCAGAAACGGAAACTGATGTTTAAAATATTTTTGCAGAAACAGAAACAGAAACGGATGCGGAAACGGAAATAATACTTACTAAAAAAATTACATATAAAACTTTTAATTAACATTCAAAATTAAGTAGCGGTATGTTATATTTTATGAAAAGTAGTTTGACCGTTTTTACACCTAACAATCTAAGTCCAGCTCCGCTAAATAATTGCTCACTGGCAATGATGCGATGCAGACTCTCTAAAGAGCCACATTTAGGTTTAGCGAGTAGGTAATTTAGTATAGCCCTAGCACGAAAGTACGACGTAAACGAACTTTGAAACGAAATTGAAATGTCTTTAAAAATAATTAATGTAAACGTCAACTAAAAAATAAGTAATATAAACTTCACGTGAAAAATAATAAATATAAACTTCACTTAAAAATAATTAATATAAACTTCACGTAAACATAACTTCTGCCAAATTAATTTTACAAATCTAAGTTGTAACAAAGGCATTTAGTGAAAACTAGTTTTAACTGGAGAAAACACGTTTTAACTAAAAACGAATTTGAACTATAACATAGGAATACATTTTATAAATAAACAGGTAGGTATGCAATTCCTTAACTGACCATTTCTTTTTTAGTTTGTGTTGAAAGTTTTACAGTTTCAACTAACTTCTCAAACTCTGCAAACTCTTCGGCGTGTATCGCTTTAAGATGGCTCTTTAGAGAGGTAGTTGTGCGGCCTTTTCGCGAGTATATTTTGTCACATAATTTACATCTGGCTGCTAAAACATCAATCTCAGCATAACAGTTCCAAACAGGACTCAAATTACTAAGTAACTAAAAAAACAATAATAGAAAATCTTACTCACTTACACTCACGTCACGACGTATATTAAAATTAAAAAAGTACCTAAACAAAGACAAACCCGTTGGGAAAAGTGCCGAAAGAACGCGAGCAGCAAACGTTTTCAAAATCAAACAAAAAAACATTACATTATATTTTAGTACATTTCAATTTACTTCTCTAAAATAAGTCTAAATAGTAGATCTCCTGTCACTCATTTTTATCATATAATTATCAATTTTCACTAAGAATGGTATACAAAAATAGTCAAATAATAAGCATGTGCTAGTAATTGATCAGTACTAGATGATGCAATAACATTTCAGGTATGGCGGGTGAGCGAGGGGCAGGGTCCGGCGCTAATCCAACGCGCTTTATGGTTGCAAGTTTCGACGTAAATTGGTTAGGTACCGAGGTGATCCTGCCGAATAATGTTCGGCCGAATATTCGCTTCGGTAAAAGTTTTACCAAACTTTCGGCCAAATATTCGCATTCGGTGAAATCCATATTCGGCCCATCTCTATTAATTACCAAATGCGATAGTATAGTTGTCTAACTATTTTGTATTGATTATTTAATTTTTGTACCAAATTACATTATGCTATTCAAATACTTTGTTGCAAGAGCAATTTTTTAACAAACGAACACACAGTCCACCTGGTGGTGAGTGGATGTTGTGGCCCATAAACATCTACATCTATCCTCGATTAAGAATCGAAATACAGATGCGTTGTCGATCTTGAGGACTGAGATGGAATACCTCGTTTTATAGTAAAAAGAATCTCCGGTTCTTTACACCATACGAAACGCAGCAGCATTGAGCTACAATTTTAGGCTGTTGAAACACTTCTTCGACTCTGCTCGCCCGTTATAAGGATACAAGTGCGAGATTATATTACATTAATTTCACATTCCCTTTGTTTATAATGGTAACAAACATCACGTCATATTCTTGGTGCTGAGCGATCACAATGTTTATAAACTCAGGCGCGGGTTGAGTGTGAAGTGAGTTCGACTCGCGTAATCTACTTTAAATAAACTACATCAGAGCATGACACTTATATCAACTTTTAAAAAAAAAATCGTGTATGTGGAATAGTTCCTTTTCTGCCAAAGAGTCCATCCTGATTGGTATCACCACTCACCACTTCTTTTTTATAGACTAAGTGGTGACGAACGAGAACATAGATCACCACTGCAAATGGATGCTGTGGCCAGTAGACATTTACATTTTTATCCTCAATTAAGAATCAAAATGCAGATACGTTGTCTTTGAGGAGTAAGACGGAATGTTCCGTTTCCAGTAAAAAGGGTCTCAGGTTCTCTACACTCACCATACGAAACACAGCAGCATAAAGCTGATACTCTGTTAGAGCATGGTTCTACCCCGGTCAAGCTGACCCATTCGTGCTACAACCACAATATAACTGCAGCATGGCTACTACCGGACCATGTGGTGGTATATTAACGAGAGTTTCGCTCCTGAAACAAAGTATTGTGTTTAAGTGTCATAAAAAGTAACTTCCTACAGTGGCTCCCGACACATGAACTAGCATACCCATCGTGATTTGTTCGCGATGTAGAGTACAAAAATAAAACACAACAATCACAGCTCGATATGAAACACATGGCAAACGAACAAAGACCTCACAAAAAAGCAGGTCAATGGTGAGTCTAGTGTTATTTTAAATCGTACATTGGACAAATTAGATGCAAACAATACTGCTTAGTATAATAACACGCAATTATAGACCCAATACAGTCGTAATAACGTTAAAAAACGTATGAACATGTTTATGTCCACAAACACAGATTTTTAAGTATGGCAACCGGAAATTTAAAATAACTCGTAAATAGGAGGTGAATAGCTTCCTAGAGTTCATGATTTTTCCTATCATCATGAGTAAAATTAGATAAATTTGTATACGTTAACAATATATTGTTAGAAAAATTTATCTTAAATTCATTCCAATGACATTTATTTTACTGTTCAAATTTGACTGATAGAGATTGACTGCCTCGTTGGTGTAGTACTCGTAAATGCGGTTGATGACCATGAGGTCCCGGGTTCGCACCCCGAGACGGGAAAAAATCAGTTATTGGGTTCTTATATCAAAAAGTTCTCAGTAGCCGCTAGGTTTGATAGATGGTTGGGATTCGTCTGGATTATTTCGACATTTCAAATGATCTCCAGACTCGACAAAACTCAAAATCTCCAGAGAAATAGCTTCTCGGAAAGTTAACTTTTGAACTTTGATTTAATAAAAATAAAAGCTAATTTATGATTTCTGAATACTACTAAAGGATCTAAATTGGTAGACTTTAATAAAGACTGATGACAAATACATGTGGCAACTTAAAAATGAATTGTATTTAAATTAGTTTTGCTTAAAGTATTTTTGTGGCCTCTTAATTAAAAAATAAACTTTTTATTTTTAATATATATTTCTCCCGACAACAACGTCAAAAACCCCGACATTTTCAAAATTTGTCCAGATAATTTGGTCTTGCGATCTGGCAAACCTAGTAGTCGGGAAGTTAAGAATGTTTTTACTCCCGTGCCACGGTAATATTATAGATAAAATAACCGTGCCCGTGCCTCGGAAACATAGAGAATATAACTACATCTTGTTGTGGTTATATTCTCTGTGTTATGTAGTCTGCTCGGAAAGCACGTAAATCCATTGGTCCTGCGCCTGATCTATTTCCGTTCGTTCTTGCGGACACACTTATGCACTGCAATCCTGCCAAACGCAGATGGCTAGTCACCATTGATAATGGCCGCCGAGACCGAAATTCGTTTGGAGAAATACGTACGTTCAAATCCTCCACTCGTCGATGACACATGCATTTGAAAACCGAACATGCATGTCTCGGCCGGCTATACCGGAAAACCGAACATGCATGTCTCGGCCGGCTATACCGGAAAACCGAACATGCATGTCTCGGCCGGCTATACCGGAAAACCGAACATGCATGTCTCGGCCGGCTATACCGGAAAACCGAACATGCATGTCTCGGCCGGCTATACCGGAGAACCGAACGTGCATGTCTCGGCCGGCTATACCGGAAAACCGAACGTGCATGTCTCGGCCGGCTATACCGGAAAACCGAACATGCATGTCTCGGCCGGCTATACCGGAAAACCGAACGTACATGTCTCGGCCGGCTATACCGGAAAACCGAACGTGCATGTCTCGGCCGGCTATACCGGAAAACCGAACATGCATGTCTCGGCCGGCTATACCGGAAAACCGAACATGCATGTCTTGGCCGGCTATACCGGAAAACCGAACATGCATGTCTCGGCCGGCTATAGCGGAAAACCGAACGTGCATGTCTCGGCGGGCTATACCGGAAAACCGAACATGCATGTCTCGGCCGGCTATACCGGAAAACCGAACATGCATGTCTTGGCCGGCTATACCGGAAAACCGAACATGCATGTCTCGGCCGGCTATACCGGAAAACCGAACATTCATGTCTCGGCCGGCTATACTGGAAAACAACAACGCTCGCATACAAGTGCATCAGCAGAATATAGCATAGCGTTTCTTTTTTTTATATAAAATAAGGCGTAAGGCGTAGGCGTAGACCCTCAGTTCAGAATCAAAATTCCAATGCGTTTTCACGCCTGAGAACTATGATGGTGCTGTAAAAACTTATCGTCACGTGGACTGTATGCTCTTTTTTCATTATTAAGTCTTTACAAGTAGTAAAATTAAAAAAATTGTACAACCGACTTCAATACCTACGTATATACGTACACTATCCTACAATACCCTACAATAACCTACGTGGTAGAGCCATGCTGCAGTTATATTAGTAGTATAATAGTAGCACGAATGGGTCGGTTCGACCGGGGAAGGACCACGCTCTCACAGAATACCAGATTCAAATAGTAGCTTAATGCTGCTGTGTTTCGTATGGTGAGTGTAGAGAACCGGAGACCCTTTTTACTGGAAACGAGGCATTCCATCTTAGTAATCACTGGTGACAACGCATCTGCATTTTGATTCGTAATCGAGGATAGATGCAGATGTCTATGGGCCACAGCAACTACTTGCCATAAGGTGGACTGTGTGCTCGTTTGTCACCCCATCCTATAAAAAATATATATAAATAGAATGAAAACATCAGCAATGTAGGCGTAGTCAATTAAATACACATAATTAAGGATAACTCAAAAACTACGAGTCACATCTTGATCAAATTTATATGGAACCACATGAGAAGCACCAGCTAATCAAATAAAAGAAGAATCATCATATTCGGTTCACCTAGAAAAAAGTTCTGAGGTAACACACATTGAAAAAATGCAATCGAATTGAGGGCCTACTCCTTTTTTGAAGTCTGTTGAAAAAGCTTGTAATTTATAACTGAAAGTTGAAATTTTACTTATACATACCTACATATATTATAATAATAGGCAATCTTTCTATTCCCAAGTATAAATCACGTTGATGACAAAAATACATCTAGACATTAAGGCCGTATTTTATTTTTGTTTCGTTCCGACGAGACATCGTTACGTTTTATAAATAAAACGAAATCAACTTATCTTCTGACAGCGTAGAGATTCTACATATATTTCATTGAAATGTCCCAAGGGCATTTTGTAAGTCAAAAGATATAATTTACCTCAGATGTATTGTTTATTTTTGTACTATTTGGCAAGGAAAATAAGGATTGTATTGCAGGATTCTTTTTATAGAATAAGGGTTATAAATGAGTATACAGTCCACTTGATGGTAAGTGGACATCTACATCTATCCTCAATTAAGAATCAAAACGCAGGTGCGTTGTCACCCCTGAGGACCTATATGTAATGGCTCTTTTCCAGTAAAAAAGGGTCTGTGTGTGATCTCTACACTCACCAGACGAAACACAGCAGTATTATGCTATTTTTTATTCTTTGAGAGCGTTGTCCTTCCCCGGTCGAGCCGACCCATTCATGCTACAACCAACAACCATAATATAGCTCTTATCTATAATTAGATTTTAGAACAAGGAAGAGTACACCGCTACATTCCGATGTATTGTCGAAAGACTACATGTAGCTTAGAAAGTTGCGACCAAATAGCATCCGAAGTCTACATCACACTATCGAAGTTTCTGAACGGTACTACATATAATATAGCATATAATATAGATAGAGGCGCACTCCGGGTTGACCTCCATGCCCAGTAGAATATCTATCCTTCCCTATGCATGATCGAAGTTGTATTGCATACTGTGAAATAACTTTGGCACTCAGAAATACCAGCCAGCAAACATATCATTTACAAGGGAGGCCTATATGCAACAGTGGACTGATGAAGAAAGAGAAGAGAGAGAACTGAGAAGAAATCTTAAATCACTGTAATTATTTCCCATAAATATAAATGACAGTTTGAAGTTAGAAATAACCTAATGTTGAATTTTCGTAGCAAAGTACACGCGTATTTAGTTTCGCATTAAAAGTATAGTTTTACCTTCAATGCGCACAAATAAGTGTCTTTTTCTTTATGTGATACATTCATTTACGTGACCACTAACCGAAAAGATGTCTGAATAGGTACTCAATTTACGAGCAACACTACAAATCTAGCATCTGGGATGTCGTAGACTTTTTTAGATTATAAATACTCAAATTGGACTGGTACAAAATAACGGGCTCCGCTTAATTTAATTAAATTGATTGGTTTTCTTTAACGCACATCTCGTAAATATCCAAGACGAGTGAAAACACGTTAACAACAACTTCCGTAAGGTGATACTTTAATATATGACTGGACGTTCACCCTGTGGATTTGGTTTCAAATAAAGCAGGCTGTAAAATCAATGTAACAGATTTGGTTGCAATTTTTATTGTGTCTTATTTTGAGTTTTTTTTCAATACACGGTACAAGCGATTTTAGCCTTTCGCATTATCTTCTTAACAACACCCAAGGCGTACATTGCAATAAAAAGAGTAAATATAACTCTATGAAAAATCTAGGTGTACGTTAGAAAGGTCTTAAAACCGATACACGTCCTACTGCCGAATAGATGCCTCCAATGGAGTTCTCTTTAGAGAGAACAATCGCAAGGAATAGAAAAAGAAACGGATTTATTTTTATTTAATATAGATTATAAATAACACTTATTGAAAGTCATTTTTTATTATTTATCACTGATTCGGAAAAAAACCTCTGTCCTGGGAAGAACCTGCACGACACTCAGCGGGATTTAAAAAAATAACAGTTTACAATCAAGTATGTTACAATTGACAACAAAACAAATTAGAAATAGCTTGGTAGAGCCTTCCCAGGGGTTATTATCATCCATAAATTCCTTAATATTATAATAACCCTTTATATTCAAACATAGTTTAATAAATTTTTTGAACTTTGTGTAGGTCAAATTTTGTACATCTTCTAAAATTTTGTTGTAAAAGCGTATACATCGTCCCAAGAATTAATTACTGACTCAGTAGAGTCGAATAACTGGTACTAATATAAATAACAAAATAAGGATTAACGAATTTTTTTTTATTTTTACGCGTGCCTGTAATGTGGACAACTAGGATTCTAGATGCTTGATACGGGTTACAGACCTGTTGAAAGCAAGTATGCTTTGATGGTTAAAATTGTCATCAGCCGGGAGACGATACGACGGATTAGTATTTGGCTGGAAGACCGATGACAATGTCTTAAGAAAAAAATAAAAGCTTCTGATGAACGCTCTATGCATGTTGTAGAAAATATTTTTATTGTGTACATACTGGCCATCGAGGATACACAGACAAAGTTTCATCCAGTAGACCTTGTGAACTCGTGGTTTTAAATATAATATGGATGTAGTATAGATTATACTCGCCATAGCATCCATATCATCTGGGTGATTGGCGGTTCACTACTGTGCGATTTAGAAGAATTTTTCTTCCTCGCACAACTTCCTTGTGTAGTCGACTACCACCAGAGATTTTTCTGAATCGATACAACTTAAGGACCCTCAAGAAAAAAGCTTACTCTTTTTTTAAAGACCGGCAACGCATCTGCGATTTCCCTGGTTGTGTAGTTGTTCATGGGCAGTTAGTCACTTACGATCAGGTGAGCTGCATGCTCGTTTCCGCCTGTTCTATAAAAATGTATGTATGTCATTGTGCAACTTATGCATGTAATCTGCCTCTAAGAAATCAAGTGTGGATGTAACAAACCTACATGTCCTGTTTAAAGTAAACTGTAGGTGTCTATGGGCTACATCCACAGCCAGGTGGATTGCAAGTTCGTTTATCACGCAAATATTTAAAAAAAACACACATAGAATTGACTGAAGGCATAATCCTATAACAGAAAATAGTAAGTATATAATCACATTTAGGTTCAAACTAAAATATAATAAATTTTTTATTGCAAAGTAATAAATTTTTTATTAAACTAAAATCTGTTTCAAAAAAGAAGTTTCGGCAAAGAATATATACACTACGGTTTCGGGGAAATATTTTTATAAATAATGTCCTCCAGACCGAATTTCGGTAACGGCAACCAGTCTCAACGTAGACTAGCCATCGGCGCAGGACAGGGTTATAGTGCACGAGTGTATGCGCAAGCACAGGTGCACTCTTTATTCCATTACTCTCAAAGTCCGATAGAACGGTAAACCAACACAACCATAGAGAGATCAGGCGCAGGACCAACAGCTTTACGTGCTTCTTAGGCACGGGGGTGAGACACCGTCAACTATCTTACTCCGGGCAGCTACTGAGAATTTCTTGACGGAAAAACTCAATAACTGATTTCTTTGACCCGACCCGGGATAGCGCTTTAAGCTGATATTCTGTAAGAGCGTGGTCCTTTCTCGGTCGAGCTGACCCATTCGTGCTACAACCATCATATAGGTACTTGTAGCTGTAACATGGCTCTACCACCTAAGACTCTTCTTGAACCACACACCAAAGCCGAGACTATCACTGAAAAACTTTTTGTTACAAGGTGGAATAAATTCCAACATTTTTCGGTATATGTCGCCTCTGTCGAAACGTTTAAGGTACTTTTAAGTTTTAAGTATGTTTATCGTTGTCCAATGAACACCGCGAAAATTCTCAGTAAGAAGCGAGTGCCTCGGGCGAGTAATTAAGTACGGTATCTGACTGCAAGTTCCTCGCGTATCGATTCTTTACATCTTTGAATTGGGCTCTTTACACCTTCCGACAGTTGTTGATTGCAGAAAGTATGTCTTTTAAAAATCGATTTACTTAAGTATTTAATTGAGTATTTCGGCAGAGCCATGCTACAGTTATATCCTGGTTGTAGCACAAATGGATTGGCTCCACTAGGGAAAGACCTCGCCCTCACAGAATACCAGCGTTTAATTATAGCAGCTAAATGCCGATGTGTTTCGAATGGTGAGTGTAGAGATCCGGAGACCCTTTTTACTGGAAACGAGGCATTTCATCTTAGTCCTCAGGGGTGACAATGTAACTGCATTTGGGATCTGAATCGCGGGTAAATGTAGATTGTCTATGTGCCTCAATATCCACTTACCATCAGGTAGCCTGTGTGCTCGTTTGTCACCTTTATTCTATAAAAAAAGTAACGTATGCGCA